TACGCGTAACTGCATTTAGTTTATTTGCCTGTGACTGCGGTTTTCAGTTTAGCTCGTAATGTGTAATCTTAGTTTAGTGAAAAAAGGATGATAGCGCACCAAAACAGGCTTCACTTCCATAGCAGGACTTCAAGCTTATGGAAAGTCTTCATTTTTATTTTCGAAACAGCCAAAAGTATTGCCAACTTTGTTTCGTTTCATTGGCAAGACAGGAGGGTTTTAAGAACAAAATGTAACAGTTAAAAAGAATCATAGCGTCATTTGAATTAAGTTCGTCCTTTGATAGTGAAAAACTTAACTCCATGTACTAATACACCATTTTTAACCGCAGGAAGCTAAAATGTCAGTCCATTGTTCCGTATTCTTGTGTCTTCTTAGCCCAGGGCTTATTATGTTGAGTATAATGTCAAGTTGATAGGAAGTATTATGCAAGGTCTGTGCTTTCAAACAACGCCTGCTTCAGTAGCCATTGGCAAGAGAACCCCCGTGTTGCAGTTGTCATGACAACAGCACTCTAACTGGCATCGATGCGTTGTGTTACGCATTTCCACGTTGCATCGCGCTGCGTCACACTCTTCACGCGGCCCACACTCCTTCATGTAGTAGGTCTCAGCGCTTCCGTATCTGGTTTTTGTAATAACTATTGTCTTGCAAACCCAATCTGGATGATCGTCACAAAACCTCGATACCAGATTGTTTTCGCAGTCGGCCCATGACTTATTCGAGTAACAACCCCAACAGTCGAGACCCAGAGCTGTGGAAAGATAAATAATTAGATAACAAAATACAAGTCGGTTTCAAGTTAGCTTCTAAAAGCTCGTAGTTGTACGGTTGGGCCCTGACGTCCTGCGTGAAAACGCCTTTAGGGACAATTCGAAAAGGCTCATGGCTAGATACGTTTTGTCTTAAAAACACAAGCTCCGTCGACTGAGAGCAATAGCCCTCTGCGATTAAAAAATCGATAAAATTCAATTCCTTTCACTTCTGTGTTCAGCGCGGAAATGGCTGTATTGACCATGCCCGAAACTCGAACAAGCGACGTTAATGTTTGCGACGGAGTCTTATATACTTCGACAAACATTGATCTAAACCTTGGAACAAACCGACAGTTTGTCTTTCTCTAGATTGTATGGCGTTAACGTTAAATATGGAACTTCGCCAGCAGACAGAACTGAAATACTAAATGTAAACTGGCTACCGCCATTAGACTGCTATTAAACACGTACCTTGATGCAAAAGTAATATAAAAGCGAGCGTGAATAACAATGCTGCCATCCGTTTGTCGTAGAGTAGTTGAAATTCAACCTGTTTGAATATTATCGATTAAAAAAACTTTAAGATTTAGACGCGAACTTTTGACCGAAGAGTGTTCAGCTAAAAACGCTTTCGAAATCTGAGAAGTAACACTGCTTTTGAAAAGATCTTGACCTTGCTTGGGGAGTGATCGTCACACATAACAGTACAGGGTTGCGGGAGGGCACTGGGGCCTACTGGAAACCGGAAAACCGTTCACAATGTCTTTGTAAACCGAGTGACCGCCTTAAAAATCACTCGAAATCGAAAACCCGTCCACCATAATGACGAAACCTTAAGGCAAATCCACCAAGCTTGATACGGCAGCGACAGATGTGTAGTTTTCCTATTATGAAGGATAAAAGCATCTTCAATTGAAATCTAACAATCAAATGGAACGTAGTAAGCTAAATAGCTTACTACGTTCCCCTCGATTGTTATCCAAAAAACGGCATTTTTTGTTACAAATGCATATTTGCAAACAAAAACCTCATTTTAGCATGCAAACTAACACTCCCTTCCACTTCAAGGTGTAGAGACGATGATTCTAATCTCAATTTTTCTGATAGAAGAGATTTAGGCCAAATTTGGCTGCAATACAGACTCGCTCCATGTATCACTTATCAAGAAGTGGTCTCTCGCTGTTACTCTAGTTTGCATCATCATGTCTGGCACACCACGTGAACTTACACGGATTGACCGAGCTGATCTAAAAACACCTAGCAACTAGGCAAGCGAAAAACTAAAACCGCAAACAGAATGCT